TTTAGTAACTATGACAAGATGAATTTAAATTATTTGTCATTCTCACTTTCACAATCGATTCAACATTACATCTTCACCCATAAAAGGAAAAAAGAAAAAAGAAAAAAGAAAAAAAAAGCTTATCATTTTTTTAATGAAAACGGGGGCTTATTGTTACCTATTCTTTTTTTTTTTTCTAACAGGGGAAAAGTTGGGGGAAAGGAGTGATAGGGTTGCTATTGCAACTTAAACTCTGGTCGAGGCAAGGGTCAGACACATCCGAACCAAAGCTACGGGTGCATTGTTACATATTCAATCCAAAGGAAAAAGGCAAAGAAGATACACAGCTATGCAATATGAAGATAAAGGATTTCCCTAAATTCCAACCTCCTGGTCTCGGTGTGGAACGTTCTATGCTTATTAGGCAGATAAGTTAGCCAAATCCACCCGCTGATTTCCCACAACATCGTTTTCCCGATGGCACCTCTGTCAATTTTCCACGAAACACTATCTCCGTACTCATCACCGGCGAAAATCACTCCTCCCTGCCGTGTAAAAGGCCGGTGAGCGCTAGAGTACCTGTCCTTAAACCAAGCCCTAGGATTGATCAGCGCAATCTTCGACGGCTTCGAGGAGGAAACCTCCCTCCCGTCCATGCTATCGTGGAGAAACCAGTTCAAAATCCCGCTGTACCCATTAACGGATTGCTCGAATTTCCAGGGCTTTATGCTCGTCGTCACCGTCTCTCCGGCTGATACCTTCAGCCCCAAGAAAGAGCTAGGCGGATCGAAGGAGGTCTCGATGCCTTTTTCCATTTCTATCTCTCTCACCGGATTGTTGGATGATTTACTCACTGAGACGCTTATGATGTTCGTCTGTACAGTTGGGGTGATCTGCAATGAGATTCTGGAAGGGAAGTGCTTTTCCTCTGTTCCGACTCCTCTTTCGTTCATTAGGGTTTCGTTTACGAGTCGAATTACATCAAACCTAATGGAGAAATTGATGAAATTGGATCAGAATTAGCTAAAGTTCAAAACTTTTTTGCCCCTTCATGTTGGGCATGAAGATGATTGCATATATGCATACCTTATGTTGTCTGTGTTCACCTTGACCGTGACCCATTTTTCTTGAATGGTGACTTTGTAGTTGAATTGGATCACTCCCTCGAGCTGGTGGTAATTGAGGGAGAAAAGCAGCTGCTCGTCTACAGAAGAGTTGCTTGAGCTTTCTACATCCATGGCTATGAGAGGGCAGTAGAGCTGAACCTTCCATAACCCAGATGTCGAAATTGCATAAGAAAACAAGGGTGATGGTGTCTTGAGGTTCAGGTTGCGTTTTGTAGCTCGAATCTCTATAATCCAGTTTGTGATGGCGAGATTTACTGACCGCATCCATTGCTCCTCCATGTTTGATCCTAGCAGCTTCATAAGTTGTGCTGAAGCTGCTCTTAACCGGCAATTTATCAACTCGTTCTTGATAGTCATGAGACAACCAGAACGAAGATCTGCAGGAGCTTCAAAGATGCAGATAAGGAGAGTAAGAGTGGAAAATGCAAGATTGAAGATGTCCTTAAACCCAGGAATAAATTCTAGTTTGGGAAATTTGATGTGGGTGGAGTTGTTCGTGTTTGAGCTATAGCTAAGGACATCTTGAATGAAGTTGATGGTGAGAGAGGAAATGGTTTCTTCATCTAATAACTTGGGGGAGTTGGTGTTGATTTTGAAGTATTTTGAGAGCCAAAGAGATATGGGGAGATTGAAATCCGCAATGATGGAGAATGATACAGTGGGGGAGTGAAGGGTTTTGGTTATGGAAAGATTGAGAGAAGGATGGGATGAAGTTGAAGAACACAAGCAAATGGACATGGAATTTGATTTCCATTGAGGAATTGGTGGTAGATTCTGAACCCAGGAAAATACATCAGGGTAGCAACAAGAGGCCATTGAATAGCACCTTCCTCAAACTCAACTTTCTCCTCCCCTGTAAGAACTTCAGAGACAGGGATGATCTTATTTAAGGACCCATGAAAGTGAGTAAATAATTCTGCCGAGGAAGAAAATGTCAAAAGGTGAAGAGAATAAAGGGATAGAGATTCTGTAACTATGTTGTCGAATAAAGATCTACTTTTGTATGAATGAAGAAATCCGATTTTTAGTTGGATAATTGTACAAGATAAACAAGCAGTATTGTTGATTCCTTTGTTAGTTTGGCTAAAGGAAATTTAGCCTCCATTTGGTTAAGAACAAGAAGTGGGTAATTACTTGCAAGCATAATCCTTGAAGGAATGATCAACACTTCAACAGTTGAATTTGGAAGATTATTATTTGGTTTATGTCATAAAAAGGAGTTCAGCTGGAATAAGAAAATAGGCATTCCTTGAACCTCATCTATATTAATTAGCAACATGCCAAACATATTTGCAGTTAAATAAACTTAATTCTGTGTAAGGAGTTGTATCGAAAACTCGAAATGGACTCTAGAAAATATGAGTAGATTTTCTTTCTAGATGAAAAAAATATTAGGCCAATTGGTATGATCAGTCCAGGTCCAAAAGGCTAGATGCTGTAATCTGTTTTGCTTCTCTGGTTTTCATTCTTCAAAGAATCAAAAATACTTTCCAACACTAAACTTGTGGGGAAATATTCTTGACTGGCTGCTAGCCCAAGGAATATTTAGAACTTTGTCTCTGTGACTTTGTTTACTACTTTAGACCTCCAGAGGTGAAGCCTTGAAAGAAAGGAATACCCAGCCCATTCAATGGAAGAGCACTGGCATATATTTAGTTCAAGAAACAGAGAAAAGGTTGCACATGTTCTTTGATCGTAGACATCAATCCCCCTCAAGTGCCTCAAACCTTCCCATTGAATTATTCAATTATATGAATCTTCGCCTAACCCTAGGCTAAAGCATAATTTTAGTCGAAGGAGTCTAAAATTGTAATGCCTGTCTAATCATCGCCGTAATCTTACACAAATAGATTATTTGAAGTTTGGTTGGATAAAGTTGATATTTCCTTAAATTTTAAAATGAGGGATATTTTTTTAGGAAAATAATTTTTGTATAATTTTTTTATTTTATTTTTTTATATAACCTAACGTGTTATTAAAATGATTGATTCTTTTAATTCATATGAGATTTGTGATATTGAATACATCAACTCATTTAATGATATGTGAAAATTAAATAAAAAGATGAGACAAAAAGATTGTCCCTATAATACCACATACTTT